GTTACGACTACTTCGTCGAAGTTGTAGGTTGTTCCTGTGGCTGTCGTTACGGTTACTTGGTGCTTTGTTTGGGATTGGGTGGTGCGAGGTGGTGCGTTGATGTTTGTGATGGGTTCATTGAGGCGGATGTCGGCTTTTGCGACGGCGTTTTTGGAAACGTGTTCCAGGATGCGTTTGTATGTAGATGCCACAATGAAGTTGCCTTGATGGGTTATGTTAGAAAGTCTGATATGCAACTTGGAATGATTTGGTGAAGGCACATACTCCCATCGACGCATTCCTCTAAACGGAAGAATTTCAAGCTCTGCTTGTCGACTTGATCGCCGACATACGCACCCCAGAGCCTACAGGCCTCGAGACAAAGCTGTTTCTCTTCATCTGAGAAGTTGGTTTGCTGGACTTGTTCGCAGAAGAAATCGAACAGACTCTTCTCGACGGGGATACTTTCTCCGCGGTGATTGCTGTATTTGAAGGCTTCTGATATGGTAGTCCATACAAAGTCCTGGACTTTAGCGCCGACTTCGTCATTGACTGGGTGGCCGTCTCGCGAGTAGGAGATATGCCTTCCACCCTCTGGATCATACATGACAGTCCCCGTTTCTTCCGCTATAGTCATGATAGGATTCTCCCCGGCACCATGGATCCAATTAGGGCCTCTAAATCGAGCATTAGTTGATATATACTTTCCGAGTCATAGTCATGCGGGAGTACATACAGATCCACTGCATGGTCCCCTACTGTTGATTGGTGCACCTAATCGGCGAAAAAGTTAAAAAAAACGACTTGGCTCTTGGGGTTCCCCGGGTTAAAGGAAGACATACTCTCCCACCAATGCGATCTCTTGCTTCTAGGATTGTTACTCGAGCCCCGTTTTGGATAAGGATGTCGGCGCAGCGGAGGCCTGAGATGCCTGCGCCGATGACGCCAATATGCGGACTTGAAGTCATGTCGTGATTCCGAAAACCAATTTGAGATATGAGGTTGATATACGTAGTGGCAAAAATGAGTAGATAAGATGAACCTGGAAGATTTGACGATCAAGTGAAGATTTTGGATGTCATTGGGTGGGATGATTGGTTACCGTTCTCCACACCTGGACCTCGGGATGTCCTTATCAATGCCAGCTCTATATCGCCCACGGGTGGTTAACGGGTCTACAGTACTTGGTATTTGGGTTACAAAGGATAGATTATTTTGGGGGCGTAAGGCCCAATTGCATTGAGAAAGCGATTCTGAAAGACATCACATCACAGATGTCGGGTCAAAAAACAGCACTGCAAAATCAGAAAGAGAAAAAAGACGAAGCTCAGTTATGACCAGCATAATAGATACAAAAAAAACCATGCGCCTGGTCGAACCTGTTAATCCGCTAGAAACGGGGACATGGGGAAGATCAATGTCACTGCCGTAGAACTCCATGACGAACGCGCTTTTTGAAATGAAAAACATGACTGCGAAAGGATATGTACGAGCCGTAGGTAATGGAAGGGTATCAAGGAAAGTCAGAGAACGGAGCAAAGCGCCACCGAGTAAAGGAAAGCCGATAAAAAAAAAAGTAGCAGAGATCAACCCCACCATAGGACAAATTTGAGAGCACAGGGGGTGCTTGGTTGTAGTAGACGACGCGCGGAGATCGGACTCGTGTATGGGACTGGGGAAACACTTCTTCAGTCTTCCCAGATGGTCTCCAGATCGAGATCCTGCCTTCGCTCGGCACCACAGACACTCCATCGCTTGCGCTTATCGCTCCGAACTGTATATCCGCCTGATCCCCCGCGCATGGTGGTGAATGAGCTGGGCACATCGGATGCGCCACGCCGTCGGTTGGCAGTAGTTGCCGCGTCGGCTGCATCAGCCGCTGCCTTCAACTGTGCGATACGTTCTTCTTCGAGGGCCTCATTCTCAGCGTCAGGGATGTCGGGGATTGTTTCTAGGGACGAAATGCTGGGGCTTCGGGAGCGAAGGCTGGTTGGGGTCGAGGGGACGGAAATGGACGAGACGGAGCCAGACTGGCCGGGATAAGATTCGTTGTATTTGGAGCCCAGAATGGGAGAGGAATGCAAGGAAGGGCTGATAGGGGTCTGGATAGGGGTTTGGAAAGGAAGGGGTGAAGTTGGACGCAGGCGACCGATGCGGGGGAAAGTCTGCGACATCAGGATAGGAGATGAAGCTGATTGTGAAGGCGATTTGGGGATGGTTTCTAATTCTGCGTTCTCGGAGATGGTTTCTGAGATATTGAGGGAGCCCATGCGGTCGACGTAATCGTCAGGGCGCATTTGCAGGGGATATCTTTTCGCGTCGACTGGTGCCCCGCGGCCATTGACGAAGATATAACGGCCCTGAGAGTCCAGCCCTGGGGAGGAATAAGCGCGCGTCATAGACGGCATTCCCGGGATCCCAGCCAGTGATCGAGAGCGGAGATGCGATCGGGCCAAAGGGGATCGTGTCCGGGGTGGTGCCTGTGAAAAACCGATCATGACGTCCTCCTTACTCTCGGGAACAACCCCGGAGTTGATCCCGGGTTGACGGCGCATCACTTCAGGTTGTGACTCCATGATGTGTAAAGAAATAAGAGAGAGAGAAAAAAAGGGGGTAAAGGAGATTTACCCTCGCATCATGGCATAGAGTAAATGAGGAAACTCTTGGACCTGCCAAGTGGGAGGAAAACAGAAGTTCCTGGGGAGATAAGTGGTGAGGTCAAGGATGTGGAAAAGGAAAAAAAGGTTTGAAGAACACAGGAGAAGCCAAGGCCCAGAATGTCAACGTTCAACATTTCAACATGAAGATCGTCGATCTCTTAGAGCCTCTTGGCCTTTTCTTTTTTCTTCTTTTTTTTCTCTTCGACTTTTTTTCGCCTATATTTTGTCTCGATAATGTAGTATCTAGTATGGATCTTAACCCACCATTGTTTTCAGTCCTATCAGATAGTAACTATTCTTAGCTACCATTTATTAATATTAGATATTGCTCAAAGGCATGTCATTAAACCTATATGTATACATTGACTTAAGATATATATGACTTTCTAGGATAAAAGATCTGATTGTAAACTGGTGACTTCATGAATGACATACATACAACAATTTTACATGTCTTTATTTTCTCTTTCTTTCTTTCTTTTTTTCTAGATGGTCTTATAGATATCTAATTCTTACGAAACTATTCCCGATGGGGATCTAGATGGTCTTCTGCATGATCTATTTCTACCTTCCATGACGAGGATATACCAATATAAGAGCCGGATGACGCTTGGAGCCCAAAGAAGCCCACGGTGGTCTTTGGGATTACTCTTTCGGAATCCCACGCCAGACTCTACCGCGATGTGGAGCTGGCTCGAGTCGGGCACCTTGCTGCCCTATGGATTACCATCGAAGGCAGAATAGCAGTTCAAGAGACACAAAATTCCACCTAAACACACCCTCAGCTCAGGGTGAATGTGTTTTGTAGTTCGATGCCTGGCGAATGGGTTGCCATGATCGGTCTTGCCAGAGTGACCGTGAAGAAGGCCTAGTATTGCCCCCATGCTCTTGTAAGGAACTTCGGCATTTGATGGAATTGTGGGTCAAGTTATTGACAAAGCTTTTGGGGGCCGCGTCTTAGCGTCGGAAGTTGACCGGTGCATGAAATTTGGACAGTGTCCATATTGGCTCCGCCGTCTCCAGTTCTATTGGAATTAGTTTAGGGTCGACACTTCGTACGAAGTCAACTAAATTCAATTACAAAATCCTTTCGACAGCCAGTACACAATGGACATAAATTGGGGGGGCTCTCTTTATAATTTGTGCTCCTTCTTCCAATGATACCGAAACCAAACATATTTATTTGATATAGTAGTCGTTGAACATCACTCCAAGATTATGCCATTTCACGTTATCGCAATTGACGATCTGTGTCCTCCGACCAAGAACAGTTGTTTTCGATGGCAACATCCACACGTCCTTGCATTCGACTTGGTAGGATAATTCTCATTACAGATCCCAACGTTCCCACTATCCATAACCATTATTCCTCGCCACCAAGATACTCAGTAGCTTGCTCCCAAAGGTTTAAAAAACGTCCTGCCTCATCAAGCTCTGCCATGAACATCAGCTCCATCTTCTTTTCCGGATCGTCCCCAACCGCAATATATACGATCAACCGTGCCGCAATCTTATCCTCATCCTGGGCGAAGAACTTCACTTCAGCATCCCATTTCTTGCAGTTCGCGCGGAAAAATCCGACTTTCTCCACTCCCCGCTCGAAGTCTGTTCGATCACCTCCGGCAGCGAACCGGACTAGTTTGGGATTCATGTGTTGTTCACAGAAGGAACGCGCTTCGGTGGGATCACCGGTGAATGTGCCATCGAGGAAGGCTTTGAGGTCTTGAGCTGTGTATCTCTTGGTTGAGGACATTGTGGGTAACACAGAAGACTGCACTGTAGAAGTATGAATTTTTTTGGTTTTTTTTTCGGAATAAAACTTGATCTTCTGCGGGTATTTTCTGATGGGATATATATATGAGCTTAGGCGTGCCACGCTAAAATCTGACGTTAGATATACATCCTGTTGCCCGGCCGGTTTCTTGAACTTTTACCTAAGCTCTATTACAATAGGTATATATATTTAGAGAAAGGAATGGTGTGGCTTGCCCTGTTTTGGTCTGATACATTTAGTTTAACTAGTCAATTTGTGCATTAAGAAGGCGGGAAACAAATCGAGCATTCACACCTGGGCACCCATCATTCCTTGGCATTCCGCCTATGATAAGAATGCGAGCGGATATGCATGCAAGATAACGGTGTCCAGGCATATGCATGCATCCCAATGACCCCGGATCTGATATGCGTCTGGGGTTTAAGATCATATTACCAGCTTTGGCTTATCTCTTAACAACACGCTTAGATCAACAAGTTATATCTAATATGTCTCTTATATAGATTTATAGAGGCACTGAGACACTCAGTGGCTCAAACCATCCGCAATTGCTACAGATGTGGGTATATAACGGAAAGCTTAGATTATCACCAATCAGAGTCATCCTCCGAATCTGAATCGGAGTAGCGATTCGCCTGCTCGGCAGTTTGGTTCATTCGCATTCGCATGCGACAGTAGTCGAGTCGATCAGTCTGCGACGTCAGGTTTTCGAATGCCCTCTCCGTGAACGCGGGCTCGTATATATCTTCTATTGCATGTTGTAACTGAAGAGGATACTCCACGTTTAATTCTTGATCGAGAAACCTGTCTCGAGCAAACGGAGTCGTGCAGAGGAGTTTGAAGTTCGGGTGGAGGGTCCGGTGTGTCACCAAGCGGTTCAAAATGTGAACCACATCCACCAGCTCGTCCTTGAACTGCTGCGAGGTAAACTCACTGAGTCCGTCTAGTATACATATAATCGTAGCCTTGCGAGGGAGCTGTTCGATGAGCTCAAGAAAAGTAGAACACAGCTTTTGAATGTTGTGGGCCTCCAGCTGGTGGACGAAATCTTTTGTATTGATGAAATCGAGATTGAAACGCCGACCCGTTTGAAGAAGTTGGGCGAGGAACGAGCGTATGAGCCCACTGGGTCCAACAAGGGAGTCCACTCGGTTATGACGGGACCTGTGAAGGCCGCAGAAATAATGCAACATTATGGTTGGCTTGTTCTCTGCATTGCTGTTGCGGCGAAGTTGCAGGGCAAACATTGCGCACAAGATGGAGAGTGGAGTAATACGACCTGGGCCGGATTCAGCAAAGCTCCCATGTACGAGGAGGCTTGTTGGTTGTATTGACGCCATCCATGAAGTAAAGGCCGGAGACGCGAAAAGCTGCTTAGCCTGGGCTTGAGCCAAAAAGCTAAATTGATCGAGCTCTTTGAGGATAAGCTGTATATCGTTTGTCGAATGCTGCGGGCTGATACCGAGGATATCGTGTAGCTCAAGCTCATCTAACAGGGGATCTGGTTTCAATACCTGTCGTGGTACGGGGTATTCCCATGCTCGATCATCTTGCGGTTGATCAACGTGTACAACTACCTGGTACAGTAAGTTCGTTATTACTGGACCAGACGGATGACCCTTTATCATTTTGATCGAATCAGCATATCCTTTCTCTATTGCTTGCGACAAGGACGATATTTTGTTTTCAATATCCCTCGATAATTCCTTGATTTCCGCAACATCAGCCCCAGTATCGATAAACCGTTGATCGCGTACATGCTCGAGGCACCGATTGAACACATCCGCTTGGCCCTGTACTTCGCCCAGAATGGAATCTATTGAACGACCTGTATGGGATGAGATGGTCAGCCTTCGAATGATCTTCAACGCTCGCTCGCTCCACCTCAGCGTGTGGCTTGTGCTTCCATTCAGGAGAAAGATGAGTTGGGCCATTGCCCGAGCAAGGGTTTCATATAGTCTTATAGCGGCCGTGCGTAGCTTTTTAGCAGTAGCCCATTGACTTTGTCGAGCTTTTGCGGAAAGAATCAAATCTGGGATATTATCAAATGCCCCGAGAATCCTCTCACGGTTGGTAGCATTTTGCCGCGCGATCTAGCCCATCTTTCATCAGGTGTCATATTCATGAAGAGCCGAGCGATGAATTAGGGGAAATAAGGGCTCACCCCAAAGATTATCTTCAACCCTGCACTCAGGAAGCACAAACCATTATCCGATGGGATCAAGTCTACCCATGGAGTAATCTGGTCGGCATAGTCGCCCACGGCGCGGACCCCCTATGCAATATCCCAGATAGCCCCAAGGCCTTTTTCTCGTATACTTCACGGGCATGATCCAGTTCTTCGACGACATCTTTGAATGTACACTCATGTACATCGAAACGGAATTTGGGGTCAACTGATTCGTTGTACGCAACCAGGGACTGTTGCAGATCACTGTATGTCACAAAGGTAAGGGTTAGCTCATGACCTATTCGCTGCTGCTGTAAAAGTGGAGCAGGAATCCCCTACACGGAGGCTGGAAGTTCTTCGATACTGTCTTCATCTTCGTTGTAGACAGCTGGTGTCGTGCCAAAAGCTTCGTGGTAGTCCGTTGCCTTTTCCAACACATATTCGGCTGCTACCCTCTTGTGCTGCTTTCTGAGCCAAACCATTCTTCGATGTAACCTGGATCAAAGCAAATAAAGACTTTGAAGTCTACGAAAGGGTATATCTGGGTCTTAGCTTGTGAAAGAGAAACAAAGATACTAACGATATAAGACCCGGCAGTACTCCGTAGAAGGGATCCTAATATAATTCAAATTAAGGGTTATTACGTAGGATTTCTTTCTATTCTGGTGCTGGTGCAGTTGGTGCTGACTGCCACTTCGGTTGCCGCCAAGGCCCACCAGCCATGTTACATATCCTTCTCAGTGCAGGTGCCTTTTGGACACCAACACATGCGTGCGGCTGGAGGTGTTGGCGACCCCCCTCCATGCGCCTCCTCTTACCCCGCCTGTCAAAGAACGAAATACTCGCTTCAAGTCCTAGATTTCTCACTGTGCCCGCTACCGAGCGCATCATCTAGCCATTTTATCGACGGGTTCTAGTCTACCTCTGAGAGAGATGAATATTGAGCTACACTGACCGAAATCCATTCAAGCCATCCATCGCAAAATTCGGGCGAATGAGAACTTAGAAGTGGTTCCTGCAGAGCCCCGTAGACATGCGTTTCGGAAGTACGGAGTAGAAGCCTCTCGGTCAAGTCGCTCGGTTTGGTCCACCTGCTATCGGGTGCTAGTGCTGATTTCGCCACAAGGCTGCATGCGCCGCAGTTTCCAAGGCTCGTATAGGATGGCCACGCTGCAGTAAGATTCAGGAAATAAATCATTACTCCGGACTTCTCGGGGTCAGCGGTTAAAACTCCGTTTTCTCAGAGAATTTGCTTATTTTATTTGACTAGTGTGCATGTCCCCCGGGCGAAAAGATAACCACGTTCTCTTATAAAAGCTGAGCTGTTAATACGAATAACTCCGTCTGGCCCTCTCCAGTCCGCAAATACCACTTCAATCAGTCCAATGGATAAGACCGACCCTCCCCACGAGGACAGTGCAGTGCACACTATCTCCGATGACACGAAGGACCGACCACATCTTCTTCTCAAGGCTAGTGACAGCCAGTCGAATTATGTCCAAAGCCTCGAGGAGCGACTAGCCAAGCTCGAAAGGAAAATCGAGGAGCTTTCCCGGACAAAGAACGAGATCCCCAGTGACGCAGGCTTGAATGACACTTCGAGAGATTCCCATGTCGCCAACGATAACGAGAATGCCGAAGAGAATAAGGAAGACAAGAAGGGAGGAGAGAAGGAAAAGCCCACCTGGGTGATCATTCCAAAAGCACGCAAGCTAAACTATATCAATTTCATCAATCGATTTCCCATTCAGACTGAGATCCCGGTGGTGGAGGCACTCATGATAGATACTACGCTGGAAGCAGCGGAGGCTGAGGACAGTTCCTGGGTTCCTGAAGAACCAGTCCAGAATCCCGAAACGAGATTACGTGACATGTTGGAAAAGAACCCATACAAGCCAGATGCATGGATGGCCAAGATTCGAATCAACTCCGTGCCTTTGGTTGAGGAAGTAATGAAAGTCCTAGGCACATCAGAGGAATTCTCCCAAAGTGTGACTTTCCTTCATCCTTTTGACCCTTTAGTCCATTCCTACAACAAGCTCAAAACGCGGCTACATGAAATGCAAGAGGCCTTAGCAACTCAAAAGGATGAATCCAAAACCACCGGTGATATCGCAGCCCGTGATAAGGCCGATGCCACTGAAGAGACCAACCCTTCCAACATAGAACCTACTGAGCTTGTTTCTCTGATGGAAGTTTTCGTTCAGTTCCTTCAAGACGAGATCCTCTCTTTGCCACCGAAGAGCAACACGAAGATTCGATTTGCATTCCTATCGTATATATTCAAACTAGGTGATACCTTGTTTGACCCAAGTGCGTACAAGGGGTTCAGGCCCAGCCCAGACTCGTTAATTTTTCGAAGTGATCAGCGTCTGTGGCGGCTATATCGCATCAAGGGGTACCGGGAAAATAATGGGGATATGTTTGTTGTCAGGGCATATTGCATTGATTATGACGGGGAGAACTACATCTGCCACAAAAAAAAGTTTCAAATTCCTCCCTATGATGGAGAAAAGGAGATCTCAAGCTTGCCAATATTTCCTCTCAAATACCTTGAGAATGCCGAGCAGATTCGAGTCGAAATGCGCGCCCAGGGGAAGAATTTCGTAGAGTACCAGCAAGGACTTGTCACTCATCAAGGCTGGGGGGCTGATCTTGACGCTGAGAGTAGCTCACAACTGCAGTATGTCACTGGTGATGTCGTCATAGACATGGTAGAGACAATTAGTATGCACCCTCATTATGCGCAAGGCAGAGAATTCCCCAAATATACGCCAACTGAGGGAGCCCCGGATACGTACAAGCGTTGGAACTGGAAAATAGTCGATGGAAAATACGAGTTTGATGCCACGGGGCCTTCGGGGGAGATGAGATACTGGATGAATGAGTATTTTCGACTACAAAAGATAACATATTGCTCCGAGACCGATCCTTTCCTCTCTCACCCGCTCAAAAACAACGACCAGAAGTACCAGCTGCAAGAACAAGACTTCGAATTGCTCCCGCGCAGAGTGTTTGGATATGTCTTGCAGAAACGAAAATTCCTGGCACTTGACATCAGAAACCTGGAGCCGATCAAAGATAATGAGATGTATAACTCAAAGCTCATCCTTGACCCGCATCACCAAGTTATGCTACACGGGCTTATCGATTCGCACTTCCAAAAAAGAATCTACGCGAGAGACACGGGGCTTATAATATCGACCAAGATTTTATCGCGAACAAAGGACGAGGGCTTATTATTCTCTTATACGGTGTACCGGGAGTGGGTAAAACCTCGACAGCCGAGCAAATTGCGCATTTCTGGAAAAAGCCGCTTTTGCCAGTCACATGTGGGAATCTGGGGACAGAATCCAACGAAGTCGAAAGCAAGCTGAAAGAGATATTTCGGCTTGGGAAGAAGTGGGACTGCATCCTGCTCATGGATGAAGCCGACGTCTTTTTGTCAGAGAGAACACCAATGGCTCTGGAGCGGAACGCTTTAGTCTCGGTGTTCCTTCGTGAGTTGGAGTACTTCGACGGTGTTTTATTCCTGACTACCAACCTTCCCGGCGGGATCGACGAGGCGTTCAAATCACGTATCCATATCACTCTCTACTACCCGCACCTAGACGAAAACGACACGATAGCCATTTGGAAGGTGAACATGGAGCGTCTGAAAAGCATTGAAAAGCAACGTGCCCATTTGAACAATGAGCCACCACTAAGCATTAATGAGCGGGCGATCCGAAAATTTGCAAAGAAACATTTCCGGAACAATGAAGATGGGAAGGGACGGTGGAATGGACGTCAGATCCGAAATGCCTTTCTTATTGCCTCCGTGCTGGCACAGTTCGAAAGGGCTAACCCCAACCAGGCCGTTCCAACCACATCCCACTCAAAGCTCGATGATCCGGCTTTCGATCTTAATCCTCGACACTTCGATATAGTAGCAAAAGCGAGCTTGGGCTTTGAGGAATACCTAGCCGAGGCCAAGGGCCGACTTGCATCGGAGATAATGTTTCAACGAGGGCAGCGTGCTGACTTCATCCGGTCCTCGTCTGAACAAACCGCAGGGCCCTCGTCATTGGCAACTCACGTACATCACCCTCAAGCCCGGGAGAGTCAAGAGCTGTCAAATGCTCCAGATCCTTTCCGTAGCCAGAAAGGCTGGAGTGAAGGCCCGATAGGGCAGTACAGTCATCGAACCCCTGTGGATGATCAGAATTGGACCCTCCCTACGGGAAATTCGTATGGTGGACACCAAGGACATGGGACACCGATACACCATGGACGGGTCTCTCAGACTCCTCCACAGGATCCACGAATGAGATCCACCCCCAATTTCGACGGTAGCGTACAGTCACGCAGGGATGTCGGTTTCCAAGGATCGCCATCCCAATTCCAAGGAAATTACCAAACAACCCATCGTAGTGGGAAGATGAATATGAGCGCCAACCCAGACTCTGACTCTGATTCTGGCGCATAGAAGGGAGCATCATATGATAGAGTACATCCACAGTCGTCTGTACTTGGTACTGGTGAAAGTTATGGTGGAAAGGCAGCCGTTTCCGGCTCCAGAAGCTGTCATTTTCGGCATCATTCTCACATTCTTTATATTCGATGTGGAAACGGTGGACCTGTAAATTGCCTTTTTCAAGTTATTTTTGGGTATCTCGTGGAGACTTTAGGTTTAGAAATAATCTACAGATTATTCTATGAATTATACCTAGAAGTTGATAGCCAAGCTGCAGAAGAGTTAAAAGTTTACGTACTCCTATACTCCGTACAGCCCGACTTACTAGTTTAGGTCTCCTGCCTAATTGATATAGTTACCCTCCTAGGACTAGTACAATATGTACACATGTAAGTAAAGGCTGCAGTAACCACCTAGGTACCTAGGTAGTTCCTTTTATGTGGATCACCTAGAAGCGGACAGGGATGGGCTGGCTCATCCCGACATATGGGAGCCATATACTAGAGATAATATTTCCCAGAGCACGGCTACCGACACGCAAGGAGTAGCTACTTTGGATAAGTCCACCATTGACCACTATTATCAACCAGCCAGTGTAAATCATTATGATACTTCCATAGTATTTTGCATAACCATCACATGATTTATGATGTTTTTTAATCTTCATTTCGACACTTGAAAAACTATATAAATCGGCCGGAGATAATCAATCTATACGAATTAGCTTTAATATACTGCTTTATAATAAGTACTAGTTCTATGTATCCAATCGGCGACTTCGGGACCAGGCTCGTAGAGGTATGATGTATCTCGCCACCCTCCAGTCAGAATCCACCGCTTCATAGCATATTCTGCTGCACGTGAGGCTTCCTTATTCAAACCTGTAAGGTGAGAAGGAATGAGTCTGCCTATACATTTGGCCCCTATCTACCTGGATATCACAGCTAAGTCGGTTAATATACATATGAAAAACTAGTTGCAAAAGTTAAAACATATACAAGGCCATTATCACGTGTGAGGAGGTTGAACGGTTGATCGGGTGGATTAAGAAGAAGGCCCAGGATCAATTTTCTTCTTAGATTGGCTGGCCTAGACGGATATTCTCTTCGGGCTGGAGAAACCCAGCCAGGGTTTTAGTTTCTGGTCAGACCTAATCCATTTTGTATTTTCAGGGTCAGTGGATATTGAAGCAAAGTGAAAGTGCCTTATTGTGTATGTAGCCCCACTCAGGATGGAGGTTGAAAGCGTCTGGGTTATCAAAATCTTCGGGTTGGTTTGTCGTCACCTATTTCTACGAGGCCCTCTACATATCCTTTGATTTGCTCAACCAAATTGGCCTCGGAAATTCCTTCCTGCCATGTGAACCCCAATACCAATCTGCCATCTGGTCCAGCGAGAGCGCTGATCGTGACCGCTGCACTGCACAAGCTTGCACTTTGGTTGAACACTACAGGCGACACCCTCATCTGCTTTGTTCTTAATACCACCCTATTCCTTGGCGACATCACCACTCTGTCAGTTGGTTAATTATCTTTCAACTAGATCCAAGATTTAACTAAAATCTCTCAGGCCAGGTTGGTGGCTAAGAGAAAGGGGGACGAAAAGAAAGGCGGGAAAGAACGCCTAGTGAAACTCGATCCTGACGACAACTGCAATGCCATCAAGGTAGAAGGATAAATATCCGAGGATCTATCTATTTGCCTTCAAAAATGGCTCCTTGTATTGGAGCACTCTACCATTGGAGTGGTTAGTTTATGATCCAGTCGGAACCCTCAGGTTGAGGGTCACCTAACCAATCCTGGGCTAGTGACAAATCGTAGTCTAGCCCAGGGATGGCGGCAAATTCAACCAGCTCATCAGGGAAAGACGAGAAAAATCCATCAAAAGAAGGGACAGAGTTAGGAGAGCGTTGTTCAGACGGCATGTCCAAATTTGTCGAGACGGGGACATCGCTATTATCAAGCGGATCACCTCTCCAAAGTTTTGCCCATTCTTTAAATTGATCATAGCCTGTTGTATGATCTGTCACGCCGCTCTGTTCTGCCACGGTATGACTATACAGCCGTTGCCTTGCCCGCTCAAGCGCTTCGATGACAGCCACTTCAGATCGCGCGGATTCTAGCCCGGGACAAATCTGGCGGATAAGCCCCATGCCTTGAGTCAAGACACCGGAGATCCTGGTTGTTGGTTCGTTGATGCTATGGGCAATGAGCGCTAATAAAGCAACGCGGCACCCATTGAATTCGGTGTATGAGACACGTGCGAGGCCGACGGAATCTTGTAAAAGCTGACAAAGCTCGATCACTCTAAGTGCCGCATGAAGTGAGTCTTGTCGAAGAGTGTTCACAATATCTGGGACTTCGTGAACGGTTGAACCCGAGTCCAGGTTGAATGACCCAGATGTGGCTTGAGATATGATGAAAGGACGGCCCATATAGATCAAAGTTGTCCTGTAATAAATTTCAAGGTGCACATTGCAACGAAAGTATGCTCCGGCAGGAGCGAGATATCGGCAGTGGGTCTCAGTGGGAAGACCCTCCCACCATGAGCCTAGTTGATCGCGGGTTGTGGCAAGTTGCCGAAGATATCTTTTCTTTCTGGCCCTCTGGCAACGCCGCAGGGGACCTCATCGCTTCCGCAGCCTTTGCCAAATAATTTGTCAAGACTATCGTAGCGGTGAAGTTGGGTAGGTTGGTCAATTGGTCAGTTGGTCGTAGAGCCGGGAGATCGACAGGCATGGGGGTATCGATTTCGATCGGAGACACAGATACAGGACGGCCATGTAGAATACTGATGCGACTTTCCGGGCAGTTAGAACGGCTTGGGCTTCGTGTTTGGAGATTTTGGGCTATTTAACGCATTCCTACCTTTCCAGGGAATATGCAGACCACCAAAGGCGATTTCGCACCTCAACCATATCTGGGGCAACATTGCCTTCAAACAGCTTGCGGTGCATGCCGTTTTGAATTGCCATCTTAATTGCGAGGCCATAGTAAACGTACGCCAAACCTGCTGTGTCGATTGGCAAAGTATACACACCCAGAAGTAAGAAGGCCTGGACAGTCTCCACACTTGCAACTGTGATAAGATCCGGAATGAGTCGACAAGAAAACCGATAGAGCTCCAACCCTATTTGGTCATCAGGACTAGTTTCAGTAGTAGAGGCACTACTACCAGGTATCGGTTTAGTCTGCATATGCGCAAACTGTGTACCGATTGCGAAAGTCATGAGAAGAGTGCATATCCAGCCAGCGTCATTGATCGATAGAGGGTGCTCAGTGGCATAGTAGAAGTCCAGCTTCTCGCGGAAAGTAGCTTCATGAAAGTAAAAATAATTAGTTTGACTGAATTTCAAAAAAGCGGTTGTCAAGAATTCTGCGATATGTTTTGGGGGAGATATGTTTTAGCAAGGGCGACACAAGAGCCAGATGACTGCAGAGCAGTAGCTCGAAAGAAACCTTCGGTCTGGTCAAGATTCTGAATTTCCTTTATTAGCAGCGGACATTATAAATTTCATCGAGGTCCTTATTGGTAAGTTAACGGTAGAGCTCACTGGGCGTACCTTGCTTTGCTCTCTCTTTTCCCCAAGACTTTGTAGTCGCCGTCCGAGCATTCTGGAGAAGTTCCAATGAGACAACTCCCCCGAATAATCTTTGGAGTCATGTCAACTAGGTAAAAGCCAAACTCAGGATAGCGACATACGCATTGTGCTAGTTGAAAGAGGGTCAATAGAGTAGTCATTTGTCGGAGTAGATTCGTTTGAATCAACTGAATCACTATCCGACTGCCCCTGTCCCTGACCCTGATCTAGAGTGTCTGCAATTTTCTGCAGGCTGCTAGTCTCGAAAGAGATGTCACCCAGCAAGTGAGTGATAATTCGTTTCATTTGAAATTCGTTGGCGTGCTGTTCTAACGGCTCTCTAGCACTTTCAAAAGATTAGTTATTGATTCCAGATGCAGCAAGATTCTTGAAAGCGGCTCACCCGGATTCGTCATTCCGGACTACTGGTATTTTTCGGTGACTACCACTCTCAAAACGGCATGTCCTTTGATACTGTTGGCACCGAGCACAAGGATTGCCACCTCCGCCTTTTCAGTTGGATCAGTCAGTTGGTGTTAAAGGTGGTTACAGGCCCAAGCTGTGACGAGATAATGGGTGAAAAGTACATTTTTCTTTATGTTGGCGACAAGGCAAGCATCTGAGCCGCAGACAGTTAGCCCTATTGGAACTTGGTCTCGATTGTGTGTCCTTACGCTTGTGCCGCCCTCTTTCGCAGCGAGTCAGGTACACGGGGTCGCCGTTGTCTGCCCTTGCGTATTTTGGTGCTTGGCTCAGTCATGATAACGTAGGGCAAGAACCTGATGTTCCCGGGGCGTAATAATCAAGGTGGTGGAGGATATCTACTACCATTGTGGTGATTCATTATTGGCCCTAGGTCCACCCGTGGGTGTAGGCAAAAATGACGTAAGCGACCTTTTGATGGCATTTGGATAAGCGATAAGCGATAACGACAAGAGATGTTAGGTACAGGTACAGCTTCATGGACCAAAATAAGCTTTCATCTGTCAAACATCTCTTCAACAAGATATCAGTCGAGGCTGCAATTATGTTGACATTTGTTTCTTTTTGTTTTGTTGCATCCAAAAGTATATCGCTGTTGGTTGAAACATGTAAGCTAAATTTTACCCATCATGCATGCGCAAGATTAATATATATCTTGATTCATCGGCTTACTACTATAGGAACACGGCCATATAATTAACCAACCACGCAATTATAGCAGTTAATCTTTCATTGCGTCTAATTCGGGACGACAAGTGCTATGTGAGGTAGTTAGGTACTGCTTTGGGCCCACTCGGGTACATGTACCCGGACTTGGGGGGCGGGTTTGAGATTTCCTACTAGCATTGCAAAATAGTATGAAAGCCAGCGATAGCTCTTGCTTCAGAACCATAGGAACAGATCTGGCAATAGCTTTTTTAGCTATCTTCTTTCCCTGTCGTCATGGAGGAAGCGTTCCCCGAAGGAGAATTTCCGCCACTGCGGCTGCTTGGTAAGGATGCTTACTTCCTCAATATTTCAACTCCTCAATTTTTTCAAGTCCTGATAGATATTAGGACATGCGGAAAAATATTCAACAACGCGGAGTCATTTGGGGATTTATCTCAACGTGGGTCTGACGGCCCTCTATAAACGACCAAGCGGAATACCTGTGAAACCGGCACTGTTTTACGCTCTCTCGATGCTCATTGCGAAGCACCCTATACTTTCGGCCGTTCCATTTGCTGTTGAAACACCAAATCCCTATTTCGTACGTCTTCCTAAGATTAAACTGAGTGAAGTTGTGATCTTCATGGAAGAGGAAGCGAATTCTCCTAGCTTGGATTGGAGAGAGATCCTTGACAAGGTCCTTGAGCAGCAACACAACTGCCCCTTCGAGATTCAGCCAAAAGATTCCCTTCCATTCTGGAGATTGTGCGTTGTGGAGAGGCGCAGTTGTCCCAGAAACTTTGTTCTTGTGTTCATGTTTCATCATTCACTCATGGACACCAAAAGCGCTCTTTCGTTCCACAATGAACTGGAAGGATACATGGCTCAATATGACGGTCTTGAGCAAAGTGATACAGTTTCTAGTCCTTCTGATGCCCTCATTCCTCCAATAGAGGACCTATATACACTCTCTGTTTCTCAGGAGTTCTTGCAATCTCAAGAGAAGGATAGCGAGCCATCACCTGATAGCTGGACGGCTGCTCCTCAGTTCACGCCCGTCAAGACACGCTTTTCTTCTTTATGGTTATCTGAGGTCGATACAAAGGTTCTCATAGCACTGAGTAAGAAGGAGCAGACATCAGTCACGGCGACACTTCAAGTGCTCATCGCGACCTGCATTTTTTCTGTTCTTCCGTCAACATATCATACACTACAGGGAGACTGTGCAGTGTCACTACGAGGCTTTCTCACGGAGCCGGTCACTGCGACCACTTTGGGTTGCTATGTCGGATCGTTATCCGTAATATACCGCAGGAAGCCATCTTTTGATTGGAATGAGACTCGCCGCACCAAGGTGGCCATCGAATATGCCATGGCACAGAAAGGGGGTGACATGCCGGTTGGATACTTACCATTGATTCAAAACCAGCACCACTGGATGCTACAAAAACTGGGCCGGAATAGAAAAAGTGCATTTGAGTTATCGAACATTGGAGCAAGTTCTACTTTGCGAGGAGGAAGCAATTTCGAAATTAAGAGTATGCTGTTCAGCCAGAGCTCTAGTGCTTGCAGCGCCGCGATCAAGGTCAGTGCTGTGACAGGGCGGGATGGAAGGTTGGTTTTGGGCTTCACCTGGCAAGAGGGGGCTATAGAAGCCGGCATGATCCAAGAGGTTCAAAGTGCTCTCAATGGGGAGATAGGGAGATTAACAGTGTCTGGGTAGGATTCCTGCGCAGGTTTACCGAATTGCAAATGACCATTTTAAATCAATTTCTCTCAACTATCAATAGTCTAGCTTTAATAGTGTCTTGCCAACATCATCCGACAAGACGAGAAATGGTAAATTGTTGTTGTGTGGCTTCAGACATCAAAGCCCTTGGTGGTAGATAGTCGGAAGCTCAACTAATAGGAATCAACTCTCTCCCTTCTCTCTTCTCTTTCGGTCCCTAATATTCTAGTGCCATAACAGTTGTGTCTAGTTGAAACTATCGACTTGCATGAAAGAAGGCTCGAGTTGTTGCAGCAGTATTAATACACATATAATGCTACGTCACTTCAGAAAGTAAGAACTAAGAAGAAATTTGACGACGGAGCCCCTTATATGCTCCACGAGGAGAAAAAAAGACAGATCTGACTATCTGCAGTCAAGCAAGCAAGCAAAGCCCTGCGGCTTTACTGGCTGGATGCTTGAGTGCATCATGCATACATGAGAAAAGGATAAACGGAGAGATAGGTGGGAAATGTCTTGGGACAGTTTTGAACTTTGGACTTACTAGTGACAATATAAATACTGTAATTGTGGCTTGATAGCCCGAGAAGCTTCATCGTCGGGCCATTCGACTTTGGCTATGATGTCAGTCAGTACCTCGGGTCTCAGTACCCAGAAGCGTCCGATTAAAAGGCAACGCCCATCCTTCTTCGACCTTCAGACTATCTATTTGTCGTCCCATTGATTTCATCATAATAAAGTCTGATCTTTACAATGACTCATCTTTCTGACTACCGCGTGCTTTCCTTCGATGTCTACGGTACCCTCGTCGACTGGGAGGGGGGAATTCTCGCTGCATTCCAGCCCACACTTGACAAGACAGCCGCTCAATTCTCACGCAAACATTTGCTCACTGTCTACCACGAACTAGAACGTGAGCAGCAGAGCAAGACTCCTGATATGCCTTACCATCAGTTGTTGACCACTGTGCACCCCGAGTTGGCCAAGCGTCTGGGTCTGGAGATCCCCTCCCAGGAGGAAAGCAATCAATTTGGAGAGTCAGTCGGTAACTGGCCCGCGTTTCCAGATACCGTTGATGCTCTCAAGCGTCTCTCCAAGCATTTCAAGTTGGTGGTTCTATCGAATGTTGATCGTGCATCCTTCGCCAAGACCAACGCAGGCAGCCTAGAGGGCTTCCCCTTTGATTTGATTATCACTGCTCAAGATGTGGGCTCTTACAAGCCCGATCTTCAGAATTTCAAATACATGCTCAGCACGGTGAAATCGACTTTCGACATTGAGCCCTCACAGGTCCTTCAAACTGCCCAGAGCCAGTTCCACGATCATCATCCTGCCAGCAAGATCGGAATCAAGTCTGCCTGGATTGAGCGACCCGGTGCCACTATGGGAAACTTGTCAGATACTATTTATGATTGGCGATTCGACACTATGGGCGATATGGCTAAGGCATATGAGGCCGGACAGTAGATATTGATGAACGATGTGATGTCTCTCTACCTAACTGATGTTCGAAAGCTAAAATTATTTTTCTTTGATTTTGTTGGATGAGTAGTGATTTTAGAAAGCTTCATTCTGAAATAGAATGGTGTGTTGGCTGCTTTCCCAAGCGCGGCCAGAAGACTGATGGTTTTTGGGCGGTCTTCATCGATTTCTCCACGATATCCCAATTCTTTGACTAGTGGGCTTGGTGTTGCAAGCTGATAAAATACACATCCTCCCTTTAGTTATTTTATTCCGTATTAATAAATTGTTCAGATGATGGCCAGGGTGCCTCATCCAAATGCTCCAATATCTTCTAATCTCCATATATAGTTTTTCACAAGATTATTTCTTCACCCGACAGATGCATTACTTGCAAAACTATATCATGTCATTGCTGCTATTAAGGTTATAAGCCTGAAAGCTCGTAAACTCCTGCGCAGGACATGTTGGTTTGAATTTGAAACAAAAAGCACGCATGCTAGGGTATAGCTTTACAGCAGCCCGAGTAAATGCGAACAGTATTTCTAATTGATAACATTCTCTACTAGCTGAAGATTACGCAGAATGATTTGCATCGCGCTCTCCCCACCAAACCACAATTCAGGGCCGCCGGGTACATGTACCCGAGTACAGGATATCGCATTATCGAAGCAGGGAGAAAACGCGGGCCTGTACCAATTAGTAAGTCCTGGCAACCCGGATTAAGATTTTGGCGAAGTTTTCCATCTTACCCTGCTTTCTCTTACTAATGTAATGAATCATCGCTAAGTATATTGCTATCACTGGCTGGTATGTAACCCGGTCCGAGTCTACTGGTATTGGCAAAGAAGTCGGCGGGTAGAAGCAAAACACAATACACCTGTAATGTAAATTATAAATATAAGCTAAACCACATGTGCTCCTCTATTGTATATGAGACAACTCCCATATGCTTAGAAACTGTATGCATCGCTTCAGTCTTAACCTTTTACGGCTTTCACTTCTCCAAGTAAAAGCATGATCATTCAGCATGACTCGTATCGTGCCATAAGTGAGTCATAGAATCGGTTTACAATTGGCCTGAATTGTAAGGTTATTATTAGCTATAACCTAAAACCTATCGTTAGGTCGAAGCAATAGACCCAAACGCCATTTTAGGTTAGGTAAGGTTGGGTTGGGTCCGGGTTAGAGTTAGGTTGTGGATTCTAGGGAAGGATAGAAAAGCCTAGCGAGGAAACATGCGATATGGCCTTCTATGTCTTTGATCGATATAGAGAAGTCAAGACCAAGTAAATTGTACGCCAAATTTGAATACTAACGTGCGCAGGGGGTAATTTAAATCCTCTCTTCACGACTAACATACGTCGAATGTAGTACGTGGGGTACCTCGGTGAGTTTCTTGTGCTCAAAATTGAGGGCGGCGGATGGTGCCAATTCCA